GGAAAAGTGCAACTGAAAGAACCATGACACAACAAATAGCTGTGGGTTCACAACCTGATTGCCCTGGTCGACCACCCCATCAACAATAAGGACTCCATAAGGGCTGGGTGAATCTTGAAGGACCCATGGGTTGGAAGTACATTGGAAATCTGCCACATAGCCCCAAGTGAAAATTGGCCCATTCTGAGAAGACCAGGATCAAGTACCAAAAAATGTAAAGTGGTTTGGGGGCCCTTGATACCTCGGATCACCTGCAATGGAGCACCGGCCTAAAGGCAATGATGGTGTACATGAAGAAGTTCACGATCAACCCAAACAGCCTTGGGGCATGGAGGCAAAGTGCACACTGCGATTGCAGCTGCAGACACAAAGTCCATTGCATTCCTGGAACATGTGTGTCTAACCTTCCCAAGTTGGAACAAAAAATTACACTTGCCCTCAAAGGCTCGAGCGGCTCGCCAGTGACCTGCAACTCAAAGAAAGAGAGCGACACCAAAAAAAAAATCGTTGCCATTCGGGGGTCAACCAACCACGCCCTTCATTCTGAGTGTCTTGAAGCAACCGCTCGGGTTGTTTTCTGGCCCGTGTTTTTTGGCCTGCACACAGGCTTTGCATGGTATTTAGATGTATCTAGCACTTGACGCGGTTTGTTGCTCTTGATCTCAAAACCAAATCAGGTCTAACGAACGTGGCTCGTTTATGTTCGTTTTGGCGCTGTGTGCTGTGTTTGTGGAGTCCTTTGTAACAGCTGAGAACAGGTTGACAAGCCGTTATATAATTTTTCGCTCGTCCGAGTGCACCCTCAGCGAAACACGGCGTCAAGTCTTTCACATTCTGATTTGTTCATCTCCATTGCCATTGCTGACACCATGTCTTCAATGTAGGGCTCGACTACACACTTGAGTTGCAAAAGACAAGTGAAAATTGAGCCATGCACATTACGCGCATGGGTGATGATGGGTGTTCCGCAACTCGTGTGTCTTTTCATTCAGTTCCTACCTTGTAAGACGGTTGATGTGTTTCGCTTGTGCCGAGGCACGTAGCCCACTCTTGGGGGGCCAAGGGGTGTGACGCAAAAGTCTTCAAGCCACGCCAAGCTGCATGATGTGCCCTGTGTGCACATGCAACCATGGCTGCACTGGTAGCGCTTCATCCCCAAAATCCCTTGACAAGCCAGGATAGAGCTTGGCTCCGTCGGTGATGAGCACAGACTCTTCAGAATCTATCTGGTCGAAGGCTTTGGTAGCAAGAACGCATTCTCGACTTTCGACCAGTGGCTTGCTGTTCGGCTCTGTCTCCACCAGGTCTAGAAAGTGCAGGTGGATCGCACCTCTGGCAGCTCCGGGGCGAGGTCGCCTTGCTGGAAGCGACCGAAACCGCATCAGCCGATCATCCGCATCATGTCCGCATCATGCAACCGAAGTTCGCCATCCGCATCACGTCGTAGCGCATCAGCTGCTCGTCCGCATCATGTCCGTGAAGCGTCATGCAGCCGAAGTTGATTGACCGTCTGATGTCCGTAACGCAACATGCAACACTCCAAAACACACAAGAATAGGCTGAAACAAGGGGGCTGGGCGGGTTCACTGCAGGAAGTTCAGCAGTTGGGTTTGTGCAAAAGTTGTTGTTCTTGCCTTTGGCCCTCACCCCTGTGGATCATGTCAGTCTGCCTGCCAGTCCGATATCAGGAAACCATTCACATTGCTGAAGCCGGGCATCGACCTGGTGGGGATGTGCACGAATCACCCTTGAACAGCTCACAGCTTAGACCGCTTAGCAGGTTCTATGCATAAGTGAAAAGCGTCTTCACCTTCATTACATTCCAGTACGGTAGAGCCTCACTCACATCCTGAGCTCAGCACATGCTCGTTCCCCTTTCCTCAATCCGGGCACCCCCACGTGTTTGGGATTGTGAGCACTGCATTCGCGAGGTTAAAGGCGGGCGAGAGCCTAGCAGAGCTCGAAGCCGACTTGAGCATTATATAACCCTCATGACTCATGCCCTCAAAGTAACATACCAAACCAATCGATTCCCGCTTTGAACCGGGCCTTCCGAGGAGCGTGAACCATCGGGCCAGCCTCGTGGGCACAAGAGCATTCCAAGAATAACCAAGTAGATGCTGTTGCTGGAGATAGTCAAAGGGTATGTAAGGACACACAAGCACTTCAGGTAGCTTCTAGCAGGGTCTTTGCGAGGAGTTCGCTCACAGGTGATGCCCCTTGTCGTTTCCCAGGTATATCTATAATTGTCTCGAGCTGTCTAAATCCCAGCTTTGCACAATGGGGACATGGAAAAATTGCTATTCAAGGCTGGGGCCAAAGCCCACGCACCACCCGACAAATTGAGGCACCGTGCGTGTTGGCTGTTTCACCAAGGAACGGAATCCCCAGCACCCAGACCTGCAGGTGCATGAAAGTTGGGTCCCCTCAGTCCCCTCCAATCCATCCGCATGTGACATGTGCAACCGCAACCTATCCACTTTCACACACGACTTGAACATCTTCCTGAACTCCATCTCCACATATTATATGTCCATCTCCACCGTCTCCACCCCTTCATTTCACCAACCCTTCTACAACCCTTCTGGCCGTGAGCGCCAGGAAGAATCCCGTGAGCATGTTCAGCGCCAGCACCGAGTTCTGCGCCGAGCTCGGCGCACGGAACCTACGTCGGCGCGTCGGCGCGTCGGGCGGAGACGGAGAGCGCATGGTGCCCGTGCTTGTTGGTCCAAGGAAGCCACCAAGTTTGGACAAAAGGAGCGGAAACAAGGAACAAACCAACACACAACACTTGGGCTTGCAATGACCACAAATAACTGTAGTACTGTACTGGTTGAGTCTTATTAACACTGAAAAAGGGCTTGTGCCCATAGTTTTAACTGAGAGGAATGTGTTCCAAGAGTTCCCAGCCAATCAAGTCAGTCTCTGCCCAAAGTGGGTGCTTTTCATGGGACACTCTGTCTGCCCTCATACCAACCCAATAGCGATGGCATGCGATGGCCTCCAACCTACTAGCGATGGCCTCCAACCTATATCCCAGGCGCAAAGTTGACAATCCTAGCATCTGACACACTCGATGATTGGAAATATGCTAGAGTCACCAGTGCCACCAGGCCAGGGCCATGTCAGCAATTGTGCGTTGTTGGTGTGCGATGACCTGCTTCAGCTGTCAAAGTTCCCAACTCCATTCCTTGTTGGGCAACCCACTTTGGGCGCCCTACTCCGACAGCATCGCATAGACCTGCAAGTGGGCTTGCTGATGCCAGAGACTGCCAGAGAATGCCAGAGATGTCTTCAATTTGAGAAATCACAGGGAGTGGCTTGAAAAGGCTCTCTTGAGGAGGGACTATAGGGAGGTCTTGACCCACAATAGGTTCGTTTTTGGGCGTTCTTGGAAGGAGCACATTGAGCAGAGCGTCCTGCTCCAGATTGGAACTCTCATCGCTCGCGCCCACTCGCGCCTGCGCGGTGGACGAGAGGACGTAGAGCACTAAGAGGTAGGTCAGGATCTCCAGGCAATCCACAAAGATGGCCATCCTTGGCACAGCTCAGGAGTTAGTACGTCCTCCAAGGAGAGAAGGTACACCTGCCGATTTCATCCTCATGAAAGCACCCGGCTGTCAGCGCCAATCTTGGAGCTGCCAAGGCCTCCCGGCTGAAAGACCTTCACAAAGCAGAGCTGCGACAAGGCGGGTGGCAGCACCAGGGCCTTGATTGGGCAGCGCCAGGCAACGCAAAACAGAGAAATGCGTGACGCCAGTTTAGAGAAGCCTATCCCAGGATCTCAGGAAATGATGAAGCAAGTCCACACAAAAGAACCAAGTCTCAAGATTGCACTCAAGAATGTAGAGAAGAGTAGCGCCTGTGGTGTGCTTTGCCAATTGTTAGGCCTGTTGATCAGAAACTCTCAAAACAAACCTTCTTTTGTTTCGAGAAGATTCTTTATTTCAGTCCATCTATCCACTCAGTGTCTCAAACAGTGGGAACCCAGGCCACATCGGCCAGGAAGCTTGCCATCAGGTACGTGGCTAAGGGCATCCCAGCAATGGCCTGGCCAGGTGGTTGCGCTTTGCCTAGTTGAACTTCACACACCTTTGATCCATGTCGAGGTGCTTGAGAGAACGGCGGCTGGCTACCACTACACTCCCCTGCTTCCCCTGAAATCTTACCAATCTTACCATGGGACTGCATGAGAACTCTATTGAAGGTCCCCAAGTTGAAGCGCCCAATAAACCAGTGGCTTCCATCCCCACAATTTCAGTATCTGTGAAGGTCATCCGACCCACGTAGTCAGAGAAAAATGGTTCGCATCCCAGTGGACTTCTAGTGCAAATGTTTATCCATTCTCATCCGTAACGCAAACCCCTTAAAATGTGGTCGTCTTACTACGAGCAGTTTCGCAGCGTGACAATGGAATTGGCCAATGCCACTACTTGATATTGCACAACTAGGTGGGTCTTGCAAGTATCAGCTTCCAACGAATTGCCTCGCTGCAAGGACCATCTACCTCTCGGAGCAAAAGGCACCTGTTGCCGGATGGCACCGCAGCAGCGAGCTGAAGCGGCATCCACCGCCAGGCCCGCCGGGAGGAAGGCCACACCTGAGACAGCATCGCTGACAGGCCATGTTTGTTGCAAAGTGGTTCAGCAAAAACTACCGTCTACCGCTTAAACGTATTTAGGCTTTACATATTTGATATATTTGATATAGTTCTAATACCATGACAGTTGCAAGGAAAAGCTTCTCTGAAGCCATCTGAAACAAGGCTTCCACCGTGTCATTGTGATCCTACTTCCTGAAAAAAAGAGCGTGATCTGTTCATTGAGCGTCAATTGAGCGTTGGAACATGTCGGAACGGGAAGCGTTCATCAACGACAGCAGGCCACCTGGCCTAGTAGAGACATCGAGAAGAAAGACCTCGGCTGGTACACATCCCGAAACGGACAGGATGACATGAGTGAAAGACACGCAGGTTCCTGCCTTACTGGACTTTCTAAAGCTGTTTAATGAGGGTGCTCTTCACATAGCCCGCAGCGCTTTTAAGCGTTGCCGTTTCCTGAGTTTTCCGCCCCTTTTCTCTGCAGCCTCTCGTCACACACGGTGTTGGGTTGGTTCAACACAAGTGACAGTTGTAGTCACTCGTTCCACCAGGACCCACCGATTCAGCACACAGAAGCTCGGGCTCCATGAGACACTCAAATCAGAGTCAACGCATCGCGCCCAGCCAGATGTTCAGCTTCTACCCTGCGATGTTTGTGAGCAAAGGACAAACATGCCTGCAGGTGATCTTTTGCTTTTGATGTGCATGGGGTGCAGTCCTTGGATGAGTGGCCTTGTGAAAAAATTCTTCAAACAGCTTCAAACAAGCTCAGAAGGCCCTGCCGGAAAGAGTGAGTGATATAAATATATATATATAATATATTGCACAAACATGCTCCAATGAGCTTACTCAACAACATTGAACATGGATGACAAAGTACGAATACCTTAAGCCCTAAGACACCGACTCTGTGCCATGCATCTCAAATTGCCCTTGAAGGGAAAGCATGCTCCGGGGGAATTTCGGTTGAAACCTGACTGCACAGCCTCATCTTCCCCCCAGGAACACAAGATTGCACTGTACAGAGATTGCAAGACCTGTTCTGGTCCAGGGCAATCAAGGGCACAGGAGGTGCTCGCCTCACCAGGTCAAGGGCTGACAAGTGACAAGGTCGAAAAGTGAAGACATTGGAGGTCCTCCAGTGCGCAACTTCAAACCGTTTGACTTGTCAGCACTAAGCAGCAAACATCTTAACTTGGTCGCTGGCCCTGGGTTGAGAGAACAGCTTGTAGGGTCTCTCCCACGGAGGACGCATCCACACCTGCCCACTCGGTGAGAGGGCCAAGGTCACGGGTTCGCTCATAGTTTGTCCAAAAGGCCGAGCCAAATCGAAACAACTCACTTGTGTTTGCGCATCCCTGATGTTTGGTCCCCGAAGGCCCAAAGGCTCAGCTGCCTCTGTCGCACGGACCCCGGCCTAAAGCACCGTCCATCTCAAGGTGCTTGTACTGCCTTCGGCAAACTGCACGCTTGGCAGAACTCTGACAATTTTCACATGGGCCATGGATCCGGCTGTCGTTTTCTATGCGTGTAAACAAAGCTCGCGACGACTCGGCCATTGTTCCCTGAACTGCAAGGAGGCCATCGCTCTTTAGGTTGGAGGCCATCGCTAGTAGGTTGGAGGCCGTTGCTATTAGGAGAGGCCATCGCTATTAAGTTGGAAATTCTATTCGAAAGATTTCTACAGTAAATTGGTTGAGCGGGGGGGCCAATCGAAGGGTTTTGGAGCCACACCTAGATCTGTCAAGTGGCTGCTGCAGCTTCACTGCTGGGGTGCCGGAGATCATGGCGGAAATGTCCTCAGACTGCCGGCCCAAAGCAGCCAAAAAGCGCTGGAAACTGCCTGAAGGTCCCACATACACGGAAGAAAGCTTGAGGAACAAATCCAATCAAAAGGACTCTCAAAGGGACTTGATACCAAGAAAAGAGAGTCTCTAGGCAAAAGCATTGTCCTAGGCTTCACTCAGCCAAGTAGAGCCACCTATCTGCACACCCAATGGCTAGATCCGCTTTTGGACGACTGCTTCTTTGACTTGTCAATGAAAGAGAATCGAGGTCAGAGTGGAATAACATCGGAGGTATCAACATGTTAGAAACTTATACGGTGTAAAGTTTGAGCTTGTTATGATATCACTAAACTAGACATGTTCAAGCAAATCTGGATCATATCAAAAGCTCCAAGTCCTTGAGTGTTGTAGATAAAACGCTGGGATGCCTTTAAATACCAGGTTCGTCTATGTTGCAGCTCACAAATCTCCTCGATGACATCCAGTATGTTGACAGCTTTTTGTGAAATTCTAGAGAGCTTTGAGAATGAACTTGTCCACGCATTCCACGACCCCCATACCACTGAAACCTGATGGCTTCCAAAATGATGACTTACGCAGAAAAATCATAAACCCCAAGCATCTCTTCAGACGTCTCAGATCTTCTTTTGAACCCAGACCCCTTTATTAAAGCTGATGCTTTGAAGCCGCACTGGAATTGCTGGGTAATACCAGTCATCCACAACAAACCCCAGGTGCTGAGGCCACGCAGTTGTAGATCTCAACCCTCAAACCACCACGATGGCTGCCTGACAGGGCAGGTGTGAAAGATTCATGTGGTTTATTCTCTTAAAACGAATTCTTGCTTGTACGTCGGTCAGGGATTGGGCCAAAAAAATGCCAAACGGATCCTCCATCGATTTTAGAAAAATAGAAAGGTTATCCTGGCACAAAGGTATACTGCATTCTCGTAGCAACGGCTAGGCGGCCCACGTTGGGTGTGCAGGTTGCTCGAAATGAGCTGCAGATAGTACCTCAGCTGGGGGTGTCACCACTCAAAATGCAGTGGACGACGTGTTCCCTCTAATTAAGTACATGTCTGACCAGCATTGTTTGTGCCGCGCATGTTCCATGATACGGTCTTTCACTGCATGAAGAATCCCACATCCTGCAAAATGTTCGACCAAACAAACATTTCAACCCTGGTCTGCCAGTTGCAGGTCTGTGTTTGCACGTTGATTTGTCCCAAAAAGAACATGTCCATGTCAATTAGTGGGAGAGATCTGTCGGCCAGGTGCGTCGTCCCCGTGCTCAACTGCTGCGCCAGTTCCTGCGCCGTCATCAGCGCCGCCTCAGCAGGGCGGCCCAAAAGCACTTGAGCTGCACCTCAGCGAACAGAAAGCCACTCAATTGATCTCAAGTGGCTGAGGTCTTAATTTTCAGCCTGCGTGAAAAAGCCTGAAGACAAACTTTACAAAGTTGATGTCGACCAGTTGTCAACTTTTGGAGAGGCAAAAAATGAAAGAAACTAGAAAATTGGGAAGCGACCGGAACGAGGGAAGAAGAAGAAAAAGAAAATGGGAAATGAACCAAGCAGGAAAAAGTTAAAAGCAGGAAGAACTGGTGAACATATGAAAGAACTGGTACAAAAACTCTGAACACTTCCATAGGTGAATTTCAATTCAACTGAGACTGCTAAGAGGTATTTAACTATTTTTTTGTAAATGTGTGAGCCGACCACACATGGCTGTCTAACCTTGATCCACCTGGGCCCTCAACCCTGACTGTTCTTCTTGGTCCTACTTAACGCTTGCCTGTTTCCCCCGTTTGCCATGCCCAGGATTGCCACCGCCAAGTGGCGACCGGAAAATAAAAATGTGTTCAAAGGTTTGTGGCCTTATTCCCCAAAAATCCCATCCTTTCAGGCTTTATGTATCTAGCCTCATCAGCCTTGGAGAAATTCATTGTTTCAAAACAACAATGGTTTTTCAACCATAGGATCACATAATGTCAGCCTTGATATGTCCATGCGCAGAGCAGCGTGCAAAACAGACTGCAACACGAACTGGATTTGGCAAGTGGGAAAACCAGAGGAGGCAAGCACATTGGCCACTAGGCAAGGACATACATACACGCACACATGAATACATGAATACATGCGTGCATGCACACATTCAATTTCATTACGTTACACTACAATGCAATACAATGGATACAGTACAGTACAGTACAAATACAATACATACAAAACATAATATGATATTACATGACTTTGCGTTGCATTGCGTTACGTTACACTGAATTACATTACGTTGCATTAAAAACCAACAAACAAACAAACAAACAAACAAACAAACAAACAAAACAGACCTACGTACCGCGTACCTACATACAATACAAAACAAAACAAAACGAAACGAAATACAACACAACACAACACAACATAACAGACATACATACATACATATCTTACATTACATTACATTACATTACATCGCATCACATCACATCACATTACATTACAATTACATTACATTAAACAGACGGACAGACAGACAAATAGAGACAGAGAGAGAGAGAGATAAAGCACCTGCACTTGCTTGTCACATTCGTGCGACCAGTGCAAAAGCAGTACTGTTTTCAGGAAGCCCCCGGCACTGATCTTGCAGGAGTTTCTCGTACAATTAAAAAATTCTCTGCAACCGCCAACGTCCGATGAAACTGGATGTAAAATATCTGCCACGACCAGTTGTCCAGCTCAAAGGTAAAGTCCCTTTGAGCGCAAAATGCCCTCGAGACAGTAGGTCACGGAAGAGCTTTGCAGATTGATCCAAAAGACGAGGACTGAGTCAAGCAGACCGAGACAGAACATAGAGTGGCAGCAAGCCTTCGAAGATTGCATGTCACCTCGGTGTAGTTCTGCTTTCTTACAGCCCGGGCAATGGACGAACCTAAAACGCTTCATATCTTTGGTCAGTCTCCTGCCTGGCCCCACTGGCCTGCACAGTCAAGGCATTCTGGTCTGGTGCCTTTGAACTCAAATTGCCTCCCAACGCCGGCCGCGCCCTCGACAAACTTCGCACAACGAGTTGTCAAGTGAAGCCGGCCGTCGCTGGACTGTGCTCTGCCACTACATCGCTGCAAGCCGTCTCAACCAACGTTAGCGGCGAGCAGCTCTCATGTTTCAGTCGGAGCAGTCGTCACAGGGAGTGTCATTGGGAAAGCTTGTTCAAGTTCAGTGGATGAGTGCGGCACAGCGACAAAAATGAAAAAGAAACATTGTCAGCCAGAAGCTTGCCAAAATCAACGTCCTTTCCCATGTTTCATTTGCATCTGAGTGAACGCAGCACGCCAAAAAGGAAGGAAACAACGTTGCTTCTTACAAGATCAGCTGGACGCTTGCTAAAGCCATGTCGTTTCCCATCGTCCAGTGCATCTGGCAAAGTGAATGAGCGCAGCACATCGAGTTGAGTGGAAAGAATGTTGGCTGTTACATGCTGTTACAAGATCACCTAAAGCTCCTTAAAAATCCGCGTCCTTTCTCCTCTGGCTTTCTTACTTTAGAAGGAAGCATCCTAGTGGCTCAATCTCTTGCCCAGGGTGGCTTCAAGGCAAAGGCAGATCCACAATGGGGCAAGAAAATGACAATACCAAATGCCTGAGACTGGAAAAGGATCTGGCCTCAGGGTGGTTTGAGTTTTATAAGTCATAAGATGGTCTGGGTTGAGTCATCAGGATGCTCTGAGTTAAGTCAAGCATAGGTGGGCACGCCCGTATTCCGCAGCCGCCTTTCGCATTTGCTTGAGCCAAGATGCAATGTTGCATCATTCTGGAAAGGATCTTGAAACATTGAAACATCCGTCTGAAACAATAACAAATGACCAATCAAACCACCTGCACCTGAATTTGCACAAAAAATGACAAACAAAACATAGTGGAACAAGTAATAATAATGAAGCAATAGTTAAACAAGAGGGAAAAAACAAGTAGAAGCCCAATAATGTGCCTTATATTTGTCAAAATCCTTGAATGTCCACGATCCAACCCTCTTTTGTCTAGACTCGGTCTTTCCAACTCAAGCATCGTTCTGGACAAAGTAAGACAAACCGTTTCAAACCTCAGGGATCGTTCTTGCCTTGGAAGAAAGCCTCCTCGAAATGCTGTTCACCTGTTCATCTGTCTGAGACCTGCCAGGAAATGTTGGGCCTTCACTTAAAAAGCTGTATCAGTTCAAGTCTATATTTGGTTTTCCCCAGAGCCATACCGATTCATCCAGCACTGGCGGTTGGGAAGCTTCGCCAAGCGAAGTGACCCCTGTGGTTTGAATCCACCAATAACTGGTCCAAGGTGCCCAAGTTGTTCCACAGCACCGGGTTCTCCGGTGCAAGTTGCAATGCTTGCTGCCAGTAGTATGCTGCCTGAACTCAGAGGGTGATCTACAATCTACAAGATCAGGCAGCACAGCAAGGAGGGCGGCAATAGATTCTAATCAAATGCTAAAAGCATTGCTGATCTTGGGCGGTCTTGGGGTCTGAATCAGCTTTTGACAGAAATCAGACTTCAAGACCAGCTCCCTTATATACTACAACTTAAGAACCGTCACCTTCTGCCTGCAGACTGGCCTCCACTACTTCGGTGAGATGGAAGTGGGCGAAGCCCAACGCATTCAGCAAATGCACTGGCAGCTCCATGGCATCTTCCTGGTGTGACATCTGAATTCTCGATTGAACCATCTCCGGCCGTCGACACACCAACCTGGCCACTTTCGACCACGCAACCGCAGACTTTCATGTTAGTTCTGTTGAGGTTGGAGTCAGTCCATCAAGCTCTTCGATTGTCCGCTGCAACGGACCTTTCAAAAGGACGACTCCATGGATTGCTAAGGTGATCACAGCCCCAAGGAAAAGGATCAGGAATGATTCCGGAATGATCATTCTATCCTGTCAATGTAGGCCATACCACCAGTGGTTGGAACAAGTGACAAGTGATTGCGAGATATTGCGAGGGATTCTGGAACTGCAAGGTGAACCACAAAGAGGGCCGCCAAAATCTCTTCCTTCTGCACACGGGCCCCAAACAGCTCGACTTGAAAAGTAGAGCAAAAAAAACAAAGAAAAAACGAACCATAGATGATGTCCACTCATGGTGAACCATTAGATGAGGTCCAATCTTTGTCGCACTCTTATTTTCTGTGTCCAGCTTCTGAGACGCCCTACACCGCCTTCAACGTCTTCGCGCCTGGAGCACATCGACCGCCTCGCGGAAGCGCAGGGCGCAGGCTAAGGCGAAGCCGTGGTCCTGACGCAAGGCCCGGGACTCCTCCAAGCCCAAGGAACCTCAGCTGATGGAATCCAAAGGCAGTAAGGTGGGCACTGCCTGGCAGTGGAGCTTAGTACATGGAGTCCATTGGAGTCTGATGGCTATGGCTTCTAGGTACAATTATTGTATCTTATGTATCATATATCCTATACACTGATAGATAGGGCACCAAGACAAAAACACTCACAAACGTTTTGTCACACAAGCCTCCATCCTACCACCCATCTCCCTCAAATTCACAACCATTACGCCCACCACACTCTCATGTCAAGAAAAGAGCTGCAGTAAGGAATGCTCAAGAAAAACGTCTGATGACAACCAAAGGGCGGTTTGCCAGATGTTCGGCCTGTGCAAACAGATTCACGGCACCCACGCAGTCGGACACTGACAGCCGCAAGTGCCCCAGCTCCCGAAGCCTGCTTCGGAACGATGGGCATGCGAAGTAGGACTGCACTGACTGGTGAAATGAAAAACGGAAAGAGCCGCCATCAAGTCCCATTTCTTTCACCCTATGCTGGTGTTAAGGAAACTAGATATGCCCTGCTCCAAGCTAAACTTGGCAGTTTGGAGGGTAATTAAGCTTTGCAGTCACCAGTCCACCTAGGCCCTGAAGACAAGACATACCTGTTGGATTCACTTGTTGGACCAGGCTATCATCCGATTGGCTCCAACGACCCAGGAGACGCCCGGCGTCCCCAGCGTCCCGTGCCTCCCGGCCGCCGACTCGAGTGTCGCCCGCCTCCGCGCATCTTCCGTCCTGCAAGGCGTTTCGCAAAATTTCGACATCACCCGCTTCGCACGTTGCACTATCATGCACTTCACGGACGCAGGGCTGTAGTTCAAATCTTTTGGAGGATTGCAACATCATCGTGCAGCCTTCGGTCTTCGTTACCATTTCCATTGGTTGGCCAGAGGTGTAATTAGCTACCATTCCAATCAGCTCCGCGGACAAAACGCAAAGAGTTTGAAACAATAAAGACACGAGTTGAATCTTTTTCCAAAGGGGGTCTCATCACCACCTGTTGTGTCTCCAATGAACTATGGCGTATATATATAATTGTATTGAAATGTGTGCTTCACAGATGAATAGGCTTCAGCACCCCTTTTACATCCGCAACCTGTGATGGCGCTCA